GTTTTCAGAAAGCAATGAAACTTTACCCACAATACCGCCGCGAAATGCTAAGATCCATCTAATCAACAGAGAAATTACTAAAAATAAAAATTCAGCAAATTTTAACAGACTCGCGATACCGAGGCTAAAATTGTGAATCGATCTGAAATCGATTCCAATCTGATCCATTCATCCCCGAATGGTCACCGATCATAATAAAACTCATTTATTATTATTTACAATAATAATTTTAAAATTTCGGGGTTTTACAGATATATACATGATAGCTATACTGCACATGAAAGCATGTTTAGAACTTATAATCTAATGACTAGTAGAATACCAGAGAATCTTTTGGTTTATGTTTTGTTATGACGATAGATAAAAACTTCTCAACTTCATAATAAGTATTGAAGCTGTAGTAATGAGCATCCTAACTTAAAACTGATCAAGCAATTTTAACTTGGATCCTACATGTTATCCTCAAGTTCTGGGTTGTGCCAGAAGCCCATTAGCAAGGGCTTATAGATGCTTGGCTGGTATTCTACATAACACCATTTCTATTATCTTGTCATTTTATGTGGTTATCTTGGTTTATGACAGGGAGCATGCCCCGTCAATCATATTCATGGATGAAATTGATAGTATTGGATCTGCTAGAATGGAATCAGGGTCTGGTAATGGTGACAGTGAAGTGCAAAGGACAATGCTCGAGCTTTTGAATCAGCTTGATGGGTTTGAAGCATCAAACAAAATCAAAGTATACTTCTTTGTTTCTATTAAAAATTATTATTATTATTATTATTATTATTATTATTATTATTATTTTCTAATTACTAATTTTATTTGTTTGATTTTATTCAAAAGAAATTTAGCTGAATGTGAAAATGTCTATCCTTTTAAGGTTTTGATGGCCACAAATAGGATTGATATTTTGGATAAAGCCCTTCTCAGGCCAGGTCGTATTGACAGAAAAATCGAGTTCCCCAACCCCAATGAAGATGTATGTATTTGGATCAGGAAGTTCTTAATTAGCTTTCATGTGCTTGAGTGCCTCTATATCATCTAATGTCTGTGTATGATATTACTCTGTTGTTACATAAGCACCTTGATAATACTGACTGGTTTCTCTTCTGTTCAGTCCCGTTTTGATATCTTGAAGATTCACTCGAGGAAAATGAACTTGATGCGAGGAATTGATCTTAAGAAGATTGCAGAAAAAATGAATGGTGCTTCTGGCGCAGAACTCAAGGTACATTTCTTTCCTCCATTAATGCAGTTTTATACGGATCTGGTTTATTTGCTCTCCTAGTGTTCCTAGAAGTGTTGGAAATTATGGGCACTTTGCACATTAACACTGCAGTAGTTTATACTGATAACCCCAATATGCTCTTCCTGAACTCAAGTAAAGTGTAAAAGCCTGTAAATGCTTGGCTGAGCAATTATTGGCTACTTGTTATTGTCAGTGTTCAAATTCACATCGGAACATTTCATCTTTATTTCTTGTAGGCTGTGTGCACAGAGGCAGGTATGTTTGCACTCAGGGAGAGAAGAGTCCATGTGACCCAAGAGGATTTCGAGATGGCTGTAGCTAAGGTCATGAAGAAAGAAACAGAGAAGAACATGTCCCTCAGAAAACTATGGAAGTGATCTGCTCGTTTCATCTCGGCACCAGACATGTCTATTGACTATCACCCTTTTTTTTCCCCTTCTGTTGATGGACACGTAACTTAACTGCATACTTGTTATAATTAAGCTTCAACCTCAATGTAATTGATTTGTTTTCATCATCCGCCAAATCTGATTGCACTGCCGGCTTTGCCTTCGGCTTTGGTGGCTTTGGAGGTGGTGGTGGTGGAGGAGGTGTCCTTGACTCCACTCACTACCCATTCAACCACACTCACTACCCATTCAACCACGTCTCACTCCCCTCCCTTTTGCTCATACAGGGATAATGCGCTTAAAATGAAACTACAAGGATAATAAATTCAAAAGTGTGGTCTATGTGCAATTGTCCGTGCGTCCGCTAGAATTCAGATGTAGAAGGTTGATCTTAGTCCTTTATTCAATATACATGTAATTTCTATACATATGAAACGATTTCGTGCCATGTGATTGATGATTTCAGGTGTGTAATAGTCACTTAAACTTTATATAGTTTACAAATATATCATATTTGTGGGGATTCACGGTTATCTTCACTTTCAAAAATGTATTGGGGGGATCACTACATAATCACCATAATTAATTATCTACAATCATTAATTATTTAGTCGGTCGTTTTCTCCTAGTAAATTAAAAATGAGTGCAATACATGGGGGTATAGTAAGTGTTAAATTTAGATTGTATCATAACCGTCTACTAAATAATTAACGGTTAAGAGTAAAAGTAGTGGTCTCTTCACTATTTTTTTTGTAGTGGAGAGGATCCAAATTCTATTTGTGGGTAATTAGAGTCGATGTATTAGTGATATTTTATATGCAACATATTTTCGACGTTCCAGTAGGATTTGTCCTGATGATCGATCACAAGTCTTGAGGATTTTTCTTTAACCAAGAAGAGGAGACAAATACTCAAAACAGAAAATGGTTGCAAGTTCATGGCTGCCGATATTGTAAACATTGTGCTCATTCACGAGAAATCCTCTTCGTTACTGTGGAATCATATCGTCTTTAAATAAGTTGTTTCTTTTAACATACGATCCAGTTCCGGATACTAGTTGAAGGTTCTTAATCTGGATCAATCTTGGGTTAGAAAAGTCTTAATCTAACATAATTCAACTCATGAACACTTGACTGTCAGATCTTTTGAATGCATAATAAGCAACAAGAACGTCAATTTACCATCATATATTTATATTACAGCTTTGGATTAGGCACGTTCTTGCTTTTCTAATGAGTGACTGCAAACCAAGGACGCACTAAAATAGTACATGTAAAAATTCCGTAATTAATTTTTTCTGTCGTTTCCTGTAATAAACTTTACAAAAGGTTGAGCATTCTCAAACGTTTAGCGTGTTCTTCATCAAGCTTCGGGGGTGCGTAATTACCATGCAGGTCCTCTACCACATATTCCTGATCAGAAAGTTGCAATCATCAAATCAATTTAGAAAAGCAAAATAGCTAGATGAAGTGTTTATAATCTCTACCTTTGTAAGCGCTTTCTTCGTTAGAATATGATAGTGCCTCTGCCAAATCCTTTGGAGAACAATGGATCCCGCGAAGATACCATAGAAGATTCCAATGGCTGCAAAAATGATGACGACAATGACAACAATAATGAGCATCACAGCACAAAAGTCCCCATCAGAGTCAGAACCAGAGCTTGAGCAATCAACGAACATTGGACCGTTGAGGCAGTAAACAGGTGTCTCTCCTGAACCGGAAGGACTTGAATTATAAGAACCGGTCTCACGACGTGGTGAGCATTGTGCAATTAAGCCGACAATTCCCAGCAGTGCAAGGGTTAAAATTGCTCCTTCACCATTTCCGTCCGTGTCAAAAAGAACATATATCGTTAGGAGATTTAAAAAGCTAAGATCTACCAATACAGAATGTAACCTTGTAGAAGATAAACTGTAAATCTCAGGTTTTGCAAGGAAGTCAAATAAACTTCAGTAGAAACAACATAGATGCAAGTTAAGCAATGTATTTCTGAGGACAAATAGGTAAGAACCTAAGAGGTCATCATACTCACCACAGCAGTAGTAGAAGAATACTGGGTGACCCCAACCATGATCAATAAGCTTTATTAACTTCCCATGCATGTCACACAAGTATGTGAGACCGCCAAGCATGGAGATGATCTGAAAGACATGAATGAACTTTAGGAGAAAACCAAGACAAGTAACTATGGATGAATAAATAGAAGAAAAACTATGATCACCAAAATCTTACACCGTTCAACTGATTAGAAAATACAAACACTGTAAACATTTTTGGAAAATTTTGGATGCTTTTAGTTCTAAATTTGACTTGATATTGTTTTCTATTGTTTTCCTTTTAATGAATTTGAATGTCACAGATTACTGTCGGATATCATTGTATTTGAAGAGTTTTCACTGTCACCTGAATTTTGGGGTGAATTCACGTGGTTAAAGCATATGTAGGAATCTTTTCAGGGACAGAAATTCCTACAATAGTTCAGTTAATTCGAACCTTGTTTCCATGGAAAGTTGGCTTTATTTTGATTCGCTTGTGAACTCACATAAGTTGAAAACAGGAATTGCACAAATATAAAGTTGAAGCAATTAGCCCTTAGTTGAAGAAATTAGGATGAAGCACCGTAAACAAATACATAAGAGAATCAAAATTTGGGACAAAGGACAGGCATTCATTCAAATTACACCAAATAGAATAAAAATTAATTATATATATTAAAGGAATACAAATTAATTAGATTTTAAAGTACAACTTGAAGAACCTTTTGTAAATCTCTCCAATCAATAAAGAAGCTCATCTGATAGAAAGTGATGCCTGCAAACTAAACCTAGTGGTAATTTTGTAGCAACCAATCAAATGGACTTGCATACAAGAAGGAAATCAATATCCATTTCCTTACCATTTGTACTGCCAAAAATACAATAATGATATCTCTTGCAACAAACATGCGAAATTTTGCGGTACGCCAACAGGAACCTTCCAAGAAATTAATGTGAAGATGGTATTGTGCCTTGCATGTCATGCAATGGGAAAAAGCATATCCTTCCTGTTATAAATAATAACACAAAGATTATAAACACTGAATACAACGTTTCATGTTCACAACCATTGCACTATGTTATGACAAATTATGTATGTGCAAAGAGATTCTAACGCATGAAATGCAATGTTGACAGAAAAAGTACAGATCAAATACGTGGATGGGAACTAATTTAAGTAAAAGTTAATCAAAGTTAATATTGGCACATATATTAATGAAGTAATATGTCCATATCCATGTCCTCATGAAAGCTCCGTAAGACGAAGAAGTAAAATATCCATAATAATGTTTCAAGACAAAACATGGTTGTCTATGCTTGGTTTAGAGCAAAGTTACGAAATAAGGTTTCATCAGACCAAAACTACAAAATGAATGGAAAATATTGATTGATTCATTCTAAATTAAAACTTCTTTTTTCCTACTTGTTCACAGACTTATGCAAATAAAAATATATCCTGCAAAATAAAAGAAACGTAACACCCAATAGTTCGAAAAAGTTACCTTGACAGAACGCCAATTATCTAAGCATGAACGATGAACAAACTGGCTGGTACCTTTGCACGCACATGGTGCTATTAACTGATCCCCTGCACATGAACAAAAGTTACACGACAATCATATATCACAAGCACCCTTTTAAAGAAAATAATATTGAGAATGTATAGTAAAAGATAAGTAATAACTAATTATGTAAGACTAAGGCAACCAATTCCAATATATAATGATACACGGTTCAAAAGCGGTACAGGAGGATATCATATCAATATACTCGCGCTGAGTCCAATGACTGCCTAAGTTTTTACAATATTGATAAATGATAATGCTCATTCTTATCATAGAAGCTAGATTCTTTAGGTGTGTTTGGCAAATTCTTAAAGCTGGGCTAGGATTGAACCTAATCTAGTTTTGAATAAGTTTTTTATTGGCAAAAACTAGAGCAGCTGTGCCTAGTTATTCTTAGGCCAAAAAGAGACCATAAAATCAGTTAAGTAATGGGCCACCACCTTTGATTCAACTCTAAACTGTTTTAAAGTAGAATGGGACCAGGATTGAACCTGCCCAAGTTTTCGTTAGTTCCTATCGATTTTGTCGATTTGCTTTGTTGTGTGCCCACAAGTGGATGTACCCCCCCAAGGCCCCATGTACTAGTATCTATTGGGTACATAACATTGGATTGTTCCATGAAACTCATCTTAATGAAACACCTGATGTTATCACTAGCTGTTGCACAAAAAACGACAGAGTTTTACTAAGGTGTGTTTGATAATCAATGTGTTTTTTTATTGTGTTTTTGTAAAAAACATCATGCCATGGTGTTTTTTTTTCAAATGTGTTTTGAAAACACCATTTTAGTCAACCTAGTTTGACCATTTATATAGCGGTAGTGGACGGACGGCGGAGGCGTCTGGTACGGGGTGGCCGGCCGACAGGACGGCAGCCGGCGGGGCAAAACGCGGTGGGCGGTGGCGGCCGCGACGGCGGGTGGCCGGTGTCAGTAACGAACGGGCAGGATGGCGGCGAGCCGGCGGGGTGGCGGCCGACCGGGGCGGCCGGGGTGGCCCCCGACGGGTGCCGAGTGGCCGGTAGGTAGCAGTGCGGATGCGCGGCGGCGGGTGGCCCGATCGACCGGGCGGCCGGCCGGCGGTGGCGGCGGGTGGAAGGGTGGCTGGCGCCAGCTTACGGGCGGGCGGCAGTAGGCCCAGGGAGCCCGCGGCCGGTGGCAAGCGACGACGGGCCAGCCAACGACGACCAAGCGAGCGGGCAGCGCGAAGCCGGACGACGGGGCGAGCATGTGGCCACAGAGGTGGTGGCGGCCCAAGGGCGCGCCGGCAGCCGGCAGCGGCGGCGGGTGGCAGCGGCGGGGCGAGATAAGTCAAAATAAAGTCCCGGTTGCCCAAACCGTTTCTTTGTTTTATGTTGAAAAAAAACAGAAAACAATCAAAAAACGCCAAACGCTCCCTAACTTATAGTCCCTTTCCTGCTGATGTTTTAGATAATTGACATATAAGCTGTAATCAGCAAACCCCAAGTAAGGAAAAAGCTCAAAACTTTGAAGGTTAAATAAAAGTTTTCCAGGATCACCGTCGTGTTCGAAGCAAATCCTGCAGATTGCAGCCGAATCGGCGTGCTTCTCTCCATCCACCACCACCTGCTCTTGATTCTTGATCTCAACCGACCCATTCGCTGTCGCCGAGATATTCGGCGGTGAGCTGTACCCATCGCACCTCTCAAAATCCCTATCTTTATCCCAATTTCTACTACATTTCGAACTCGAGAACTCAGGATTGTCGCAAGAATCGCTGTCCTCGCTGAGCAACGAAGTCGAATACGAATCGTACTCCTTCGTTTTCCCCTTCATTGAGAAGAATTTGGCGATGGAGTGAGGAAACCCTAGAGAACATGCGTAGGGTTTTAAAGAAAGAGGGAAGGTCAAGAGTAAGACTTTGATTGGAATTTAAAAAATTGGATAAAGAAATATTCCTTCGCTTAATCCACAAGCTTTTTAGTTTAATTTTTCCGCCAAGTTTAATTATGAGATTGTCTTCAGAAGGGAATAAACTCGGTCTTATTCTGTGTTATTTATAATTCCTAATTATTTCATTGTTAAAGGACTTTGGGCTTGGATTCAATCCCAATGGGGACCTAAAAAATGAGACTTCATAATAAAAGGCTTAACAATAACCATTTTTTTAATCTTACTATTATTAATTAATAATTACACTATTATAGTACAAGTCTAGAATAATTTACAAATTTCCAAAATTTCCTCCCTTTTTCTCTCCCATGTTCTCTCTTCCTTATTCAATCTCAGTTACTCTGTAATGAATAATGGATCTTTGATTACTTAATTTAAATTAATTATATAATTTTTAATATTTGGTAAAACACAAAATAACATATAAAAATAAAGAGTAGTAGTAATCATTCTAATGGGGTGATCTGATAATGATAACCATCATCAGAGAAAAAGGGGTTGGAGATAAGGAAGAAAATATGAAAAAGTAAAATAAAATAGAGATACAATTTAGTTTCTACGACCTAGTTGAGATAAATTGAGACTAGATTAATTCTTACTCTTGTGTATACATAGGTTAAAGGCGGGATAACTTTTTACAATTACTCAAGTTCTAATGTTAATACAGTTCTAATTGATTAACACCTTAAAAATTCATATTGTACCCATTTTAATTGACTAACATCGTAAAAATTTATCCTACAAATTATCTAGGTTTTTATTTTGAATTCTGCGTGATAATCCTACTTGACATTTAAAATCACGTGAATTCTTCATGTATTTCTCAACGTTCCAGTCATCATTTTTCATATGACGTTATCCATAACAATACCCAAAAAAAAAGTTAAATGAATAAGACTTATGAACGTAAAGATGGATTAAAAGAAATTCTAATGGGACCTTTCATTGCTTTATTTATTCACAAGAAATTTCTCAAGAAATTTCACAAAGTAGTCTTTAGTTTTTTAAACTATAAATCATATTTTGTTGTTATTGACTTAGTATTCCATTAAGACTCATTGCGGCTATATAAATTGTATTTGAATAAATTCAAGGGAAGATTGTGTCAAAGCCCAAAAGTAATAACTTCATGTGCTGCAGCTCCTCTAACTTTTTCTCATGTACTGCAACCCTTTTTTAGTACTTATTTTCTGCCAACTAAGCATTGAAAGAGAATAAAAAATAAAAAAAATCCCAAAATGTCATTATCTCTTCCATTCTTTTCTCTCTAAATCTAATGGACATGACACCTTATTCCTCCTCTTTTCTAACACATCTCCTTCCTCCTCTTCCCCTCTTCCTCCTTTTTCTCTCAGACACCGACATCCCCTTCGCCACCAGCGAACTTAGGTGCGCGCTCCGACCATATTGTTGATCGGTATATATTACATAGAGAAAAACTCAATATGATTCGTTTTTTTCTCCCACTAACTTTCCTCGCTCTCTCTTTCTTTTCCCCCAAAAAGCAAAATAAGCCCAAACTTTGTCGGCAATGACAATGGCAATGACAAAACCCTCGAATTTGTCGAAGTTCTCATCAGAGGATCCGTCAAACAACATACCAATCTCCGACACTGAAGGCAAAGAACAAGGCGGATGAGACGGTGTTGGAGGAGGACAACGACGAGCTCGTGTGTTAAGTCTAATGAAATTCGTAATTTTGAACATCGTGGAAAAATAAAAAATTTAAAGAAATGCCGGATAAATATGATTTTTTTGATGATTTTTTATGTTAAGTTCAAATCCAAGGTGAAACATTAAGTCTAATGACTTGGAAGTGAAGTCCAATGGCTTGTATACGAACGCCTCGTTTGGTACGCGGAAATGGACAAACTTGGGAATGGAATGGAAGAAGGAATGGAATGGATTGCATGTGGGAAATGGAATGGTCATTCTCATTCTCTTGTTTGGGTGCATTCGTAGAATGAAGCTAGAATGGAAATCTCATTCCCATTCCCATGTTTGGTATCACTAGTACACAAGTGAGAATGAAATCTCATTTTCTAATAATGCCCTTACAACAACATAGATTTTTAATAAGATAAAAAATAAACATTAATGATAATAACTAAATAATTTTATATACGCATATGTTATATTAATCTAGGTATGTGTTATACTAATGCTCGTGTTATCCATCAGGTGTATGTTTCGTTTATATTTTTTAAACAATACTCGCTATTTCTTAGTCTTAAAAATTAAAGAAAAATAAAAAAAAGATTATCGTATCTTTCATAGGTCCAAAAAAAAAAGAATGATATCCACAATCCACAGTTCTAGATATATAAATTAACTTATTTGATAAAGTATCAAAATCACTCAATTCATAATAGCAAAAATCCATAAAACAATACCAACTAAAATAATAAGTTTCGAAATAGCAAAATGATATACTAGCCTAAATTGTCAATCTAAAATTGCCCACTTGCATAGCGCCTCACCCAAACATTCTTTATTATTAATATGGATATAATTGAAAAATACCTAACTAGTTTTTGATTCTCACTTGAATGGGAATGATCATTCCTTATCTTCTCACTTGGAATGCTCATTCCCACAAATAGTGGGAATGATCATTCCTAGGGAATGGTCATTCCAACATCTAAAATATAGGTGTGTTTGGTATGAGGGAATGGGAAGTGGGAATTGCATTCCATTCCTCCTCATTCCCGCGTACCAAACGAGGCGTAAGTCTATTGGGTTGAATAATAAGTCCAAGGGATTATATGTTAAGTCTATTGGGTTGAATAATAAGTCTAATTTGTTAAATATTAAGTGTAATGAATTATATGTTAAGTCCAATTTGATTCGTGTTAAGTCCAGTTTGGTTCATGTTAAGTTCAATTCGGCTCATGTTAAATCAAATTTGGTTCATGTTAAGTCCAATTTGGTTTATATTAAGTTCAATCCGGTTCATGTTAAGTCCAATTTAAATCATGTTAAGTCTAATTTAACTTGTTTTAAGACTAATTTTATGTTGTCCAATTTAAATCATGTTAAGTCTAATTTAATTCCTTTTAAGTATAATTTAAACCATGTTATGTCTAATTCAACTTGTTTTAAGTCTAAAAACAAGTTGAATTAGACTTAACATGAATCATGTTAAGTCTAAATCAAATTGATTTAAGTCTAATTTCATATTAAGTCCAATTTGATTCATGTTAAGTCCAATTTAATTCATGTTAAATTCAGTTCGATTCATGTTAAGTCTAATTTAATTCATGTTAAGTCTAATTTAAATCATGTTATGTCTAATTCAACTTATTTTAAGTCTAAAAATAAGTTGAATTAGGCTTAACATGAATCATATGTTAAGTCTATTTTAACTTATTTTAAGTCTAATTTCATGTTAAGTCCGTTTTGGTTCATATTAAGTCCAATTCGGTTCATGTTAAGTCCAATTTAAATTATGTAAAGTCTAATTCAACTTGTTTTAAGTCTAATTTCATATCAAGTCTAATTTAGTTCATGTTAAGTTTAATTTAATTCATGTTAAGGCTATTTTAACTTATTTTACGTCTAATTTCATGTTGAATTAAATTTGAATCATGTTAAGCCTAATTTAACTTTTTTAAGTCTAATTTCAATCATGTTAAATTCCTTTTAAGTCTAATTTAAATCATGATAAGTCTAATTCAACTTGTTTTAAGTCTAATTTCATGTTAAGTATAATTTAATTAGACTTGAAACAAGTTGAATTAGACTTAAAAGGAATTAAATTAGACTTAAAATAAACCAAATTAGACTTAACATGAACCAAATTGAACTTAACATAAATCAAATTGGACTTAATATAAAATTAGACTTAAAACAAGTTGAATTAGACTTAACATGATTCATGTTAAGTATAATTTAACTTATTTTTAAACTTGAAATAAGTTGAATTAGACATAATATGATTTAAATTAGACTTAAAACAAGTTAAATTAGACTTAACATGATTTAAATTAGACTTAACATGAACCAAATTGGACTTAACATGAACCAAAATAGACTTAACATGAGCCGAATTAGACTTAACATGATTTAAATTAGACTTAACATGAACCAAATTGGACTTAACATGAACCAAACTGGACTTAACATGAATCAAATTGAACTTAACATATAATCCATTACACTTAATATTTAACAAATTAGACTTATTATTTAACCCAATAGACTTAACATACAATCCCTTGAATTTATTATTCAACCCAATATACTTAACATACAATCCCTTGCACTTATATATTATTCAACTCGACAGACTTAGTATACAAGCCCTTGGACTTCACTTCCAATTCATTCGACTTAATGTTTCACATTGGATTTGAACTTAACATAAAAAATCATATTTAGCCGACATTTATTTAAATTTTCATCTTTTCACGATGTTCAAACAGAAATTATGAATTTCCTTAGACTTAATACATGATCTCCTCCTCCTCCTCCTCCAACACCATCTCCTCCGCCTCGTTCTTCTCCTTTAGTATCGGAGACCGATATGTTATTTGACCTTCGACGAGAACTTTGATGAATTCGAGGGTTTCACCATTGTTATTGCCATTGCCGTTGCCATTGCCGCCTAAAATTGGGCTTGTTTTGCTTTTGGAGGGAAAAGAAAGAGAAAGCGGGAAAAATTAGTGGGAGAAAAAACATATCATATTGAGTTTTTTCTATGTACTACATACCCCCAGATCAACAATATGGACGGAGTATGCACCTAAGTTCAGTGGTGGCGAGGGAGATGTCGGTGCCTGAGAGAAAAGGAGGAAGAGGGGGGAGAGGAGGAAGGAGATGAGTTAGAAAAGAGGAGGAATGAGGAGCCATGACCATTAGATTTAGAGAGAAAAGAATGGAAGAAATAAGGACATTTTGGGATTATTTATTTATTTTTTTATTCTCTCTTTATGCTTAATTAGCAGGAAATAATTGCTAAAGAATGATTGTAACACATAGGAAAAAGTTAGAGGGGCTGTAGCACATGAAGTTATTACTTTTGGGGCCTTCATAGAATTTTCCCTAAATTCAAATAGTCTGATATCCTAATCAAACCATGCACGGACATTCAGATACAGATTCCGATAGTTATGTAAGAAGAAAAACAAAAAAATAAAATAGAAAAGACCTTTGGGAGGCCTAGTAAACATTTTTAAATTATTTTTATTCTTTTCTTGTGATTAATCGGGACAACATATCTAGAAAACATATTAACTAGAGAAAATAGATACAAAATATACATGAAAAGGTGGGAATAATAGAAGGAGAAATTAATACAAAAGATGGATAAGAAAATGAAGAAAGAATACTCAAAATTCTAAAGTAAAATGTCATCCAGTTCTGATGAGATCCTTCACTCCACAATAAAGTTATATTGACATATCAGAAAAGAAGATGATTGTACAATCAAACAACAAAATATATTTGCATCTATGGATTTATTACGAAATATTCTCTCGTTCAGGCTCAGTCTCACCAGTGAAAGTAGAACATGAGGAATTAAAACAAATTGATGAGTGCACGGAAGTGATGTACTTGTTAGATCTAAACCAAAACTTGAGATCTAAAACCATATAGCCATGATTAATTCAAAGAGATTAACAATAATCAAAAGAGTGCGGAAGATTATACCTGAATCCATAGAAGAAATCTTGATTTGGGTTTCAATGATCTTCTAACCTTAGGGTTTCTCTAAATCCGAATTTCTCTCTCTAGATAGGGGTGAAGAGAATTAGAGAGTGTAATCCTAGATTAGGGACCATAACCCCTTATTTATAGATGTTGTACATTTGTAATTTGGCCCCTCAACAAATCACAATTACAACCTGGTATCTGCACATATAACCACATGACTTATTTAAATACCCAATTAACCCAAATTAATTGATCACTTTAGTGGGTTATCCTGAAAGATAGCAATACACATTGATTAATCATATGTGCCCACAAATAGATTTATTAGATTAAATCCAACAATCTCTCACTTGGACACCATATGATTCCTTAAATTGTGTATAACCTTATGAGCTCAAAAAATTGCTATCACTGAAAAGGGTATTTCCGAACAATCTCGTCCATTGACTATATCAATATAGGATCAAAGCGGCCTTCGTCACATTTATCGTGACTCGACCCATCAATGGTCACATATACCAATACAATCAAACGACATAGATCAATCATGGATGTGCAGCATGAAAATTACATGCAATGTGATCAGTACATGTCTATTTTCAACTGATCCTCCTTAGTGAGGTCAAAACCAAACATAATGTAACAGAGTGTCTTAACTGAATACTTTATTCTGATCAGACAATACAACCAAACATAAAGCACCACAAATACAAACTCCCACTAAAACATAATATCCTCAAATAATACCACACCCATATGAGCAGTATGCTCATGAAAGACCTTAGGTGGCAATCCCTTAGTAAGAGGATCAGCTAACATGGAGTTTGTCCCAATGTGCTCTATAGATATCTGTCCACTCTGTACCCTTTCTTTCACAACCAGGAACTTAATGTCAATATGTTTTGACTTAGTTGAGCTCCTGTTGTTATTGGAATACATTACTGCAGATTTATTGTCACAATATAACCTTAGTGGTCTTTCAACATTTTTCAAAATGCGCAGTCCCGTGACAAAATTTCGCAGCCATATTCCCTGATTGGATGCCTCATAGCAAGCTACAAATTCTGCTGCCATAGTGGAGGAAGCTACTAGTATCTGTTTGATACTTTTCTATGATATAGCTCCTCCTGCTAACATATAAATGTAGCCTAATGTAGCCTGATGTAGACTTCCTGCTATCTTGATATCCAGCAAAATCAGAATCCGAATACCTAATGACCTCTAATTTTTGTAATTTTCTGTATGTGAGCATGTAATCTTTTGTTTTCTGAAGATACCTCATAACCCTTTTGACTGCTATCCAATGATCCATACCAGGGTTGCTTAAGTATCTGCCTAACATCCCAACAATGTACGCAATATCCGGATGCGTACATACCTGAGCATACATTAGACTTCCTACAGCCGAAGCATAAGGAATCTTCTGCATTTCCTGAATTTCAAGGTTACCTTTAGGGCACTGATTGAGACTAAACTTGTCTCCTTTAGCAACAGGGGTGTCACCTGGTCTGCAATCTTGCATGCCAAACCTTTTAAGTACCTTATCGATATAGCTCTTTTGTGATAATCCAAGAATACCCCGAGAGCGATCTCGATGTATCTGGATCCCTAATATAAAAGAGGCGTCCCCAAGATCTTTCATCTCAAAATTCTTTGATAGAAATCTCTTGGTTTCGTGCAACATGCCTATATCATTAGTGGCAAGCAAGATGTCATCGACATATAGAACCAGAAAAATATACTTACTCCCACTGAACTTGTGATATACACAGTCATCAAAAATGTTCATCTCAAAACCGAACGAGATAATTATTTGTTGAAACTTATGATACCATTGACGAGGAGCTTGCTTGAGTCCATAGATAGATTTCCTTAATTTGCAGACCATATTCTTTGGGTCTCCTGACACAAAGTTTTCTGGTTGCACCATATAAATCATCTCATCAATGTCTCTATTGAGAAATGCAGTCTTAACATCCATCTGATGTAACTCAAGATCATAATGAGCAACAAGTGCCATGATTATTCTGAAAGAGTCTTTCGATGAAACCGGAGAGAAAGTCTTTGTATAACCAATGCCTTCCTTTTGAGTATAGCCTTTAGCCACAAGACGTGCCTTATACCTCCCCACATTATCGTTTGCATCCTGTTTGGTCTTAAAAATCCATTTACAACCAATTGGTTTTGCACCTTTTGGTAATGGGACAAGTTCCCAAACCTTATTGTCTTGCATAGACTTGTACTCTTCATTCATGGCATCAATCCATTGCTGAGAGTTAGAACTTTTCATGGCCTGAAGGAAGTTGATTGAATCATCTTTCAACATTCCATTACTTTCCTCATGTTCTTGGAGAAATACAATATAATCATCTGGAATAGCATTTCTCCTTTCTCTCGTGGATCTCCTTAATGGCACTGGTTGTTGAGTTTGTTGAGTTTGTTCTTCTGGAACAGGGAGTTGTTCAATATTATCATCTTGAGGTTCCGGATTTACTTCTTGAGCAACAACATGTATAGGAACCTGAATATTGTTAAAAGTAACTGTATGGATTGGATCTGAAGCCAATTCCTCCTCAAAACTAATGTCTCTAACCTTATTTCTCCCCCCAAACTCAACATCCTCAAAGAATGTTGCTGTTCCCGTCTCAAAAATATTCCTTATAGTGGGATCATAAAACTTATAGCCCCTAGAGCGTTTAGAGTATCCAATAAAGTAGCTGCTAACTGTTTTGGAGTCCAACTTCTTTTCATTTGGCCTATAAGACCTTGCCTCAGCTGGACATCCCAAAATATGTAAATGCTTTAAGCTGGGCTTTCGACCAGTCCAAAGCTCATAAGGTGTTTTAGCAACTGCTTTACTTGGTACTCTATTCAGAATGTAAGCTGTTGTCTTAAGTGCTTCTCCCCAGAGTGACTCTGGTAAAGAAGAATGAGCAATCATACTTCTTACCATATCCTTAAGAGTCCTATTTCGTCTTTCAGCTACACCATTCATGCTAGGTGAACCCGGCATGGTGTACTGTGGGACGATACCGTATTTCTCTAGGTATCTAGCAAATGATTCCAAAAAATTGCTGTTCACCGACGATTTTTCAGTTATTGTTCATCCGATGCTTTTTCAGTCACTGTTCATCCGAAAAATTTTCGCTACTGTTCACCCGGGAAAAAACTTTACTGTTCACCCGGAAAAATTTCGTTACTGTTCATCCGAACAAAAAATTTACTGTTCATCCGAAAAACAAAACTGAATCTTTAACCAGAGATTTAAGATAAAAAAAAACCCAATAAAACTTAAATCCCTAAGAATTAATCAAGGTGGCTCTGATACCACTTGTTAAATCTAAACCAAAACTTGAGATCTAAAACCATATAGCCATGATTAATTCAAAGAGATTAACAATAATCAAAAAAGTGCGGAAGATTATACCTGAATCCATAGAAGAAATCTTGATTTGGGTTTCAATGATCTTCTAACCTTAGGGTTTCTCTAAATCCGAATTTCTCTCTCTAGATGGGGGTGAAGAGAATTAGAGAGTGTAACCTTAGATTAGGGAGCATAACCCCTTATTTATAGATGTTGTACATTTGCAATTTGGCCCCTCAACAAATCACAATTACAACCCGGTATCTGCACATATAACCCCATGACTTATTTAAATACCCAATTAACCCAAATTAATTGATCATTTTAGTGGGTTATCCTGAAAGATAGCAATACACATTGATTAATCATATGTGCCCACAAATAGATTTATTAGATTAAATCCAATAGTACTTTGTTATTTCTTTACAAGGTAAAATATAATACTCAAAGTCTCAAACATTGAATACGCGGTGTCAAAAACATCGATAGATACTCCGTCGGTAGAAAATACGACTTCACGTGTCAATATTTTTGTGCCCTTGAAGCCATCCTCAATCAAACCCTGTACAGTGAAAAGAGATTAACAATAGTATCTCAAGATCATCATCACTTTCTCAAAAAAAGACAATGAAATTATGTAACCTTTTCTTGAGTCGACTAATAATCCAAAATACTCAGTCCACTTGAATTATGTGTGTTCAAGGTCTCTGAGTATACGTGTGTGCCATCATTTTGGACTTTCCACACGTTATAAACTTATAATTTCTATGGAGAGATTGAACAAGGAAAATTAATCATTCACACCCCATAACTTCCACGTCTTTGTTATGACAATCAAATCTCATACTTCCTGCATTAATTAGGAGAACATAGTCTAATTAGGAGCCCGTTATTAGCTCTTAATTAACTTTTGATTTTTAGCGATGAAGTCTGTAGGTTTGATCCCATTAATTATTCTAAGAAGAAGAAGCTCTCAATTTTTTGTTTTTTTTTTACAACTAAGCCTCCAAAATTTACCGCTCTCTCCTACTATGATCTCATTAATTTAGAAAAAGACTATAAACATTAACTTATTTTATTTCTCCGTCGATGTTACAATTCCTTATCAGCCAAGTCACTAATTATGGGCATGCATGCTATCTGTGTTATTCCTCAAAAATATCTGCAAAGACCAAAGTCTTATGTGGCCTACCTTATACCCACGTACGTGTCCACAATTAGGCAGACAGTGTCCCAGAATCATGGAAGCTAGTCATAACAACACTACAGTAACAAACTAGCTAAAAAAAAATTTTTGTTCCAAGTGTAGAGATCTCAGTATCTTACTCTGCAAACTCGATGTTGATCTTCATAGCAACCGATATATCGGCAATCATGCCGAAAGCAGTTCGAGACAGAACCAGCGTCGTCCTGTTCACCGACGGCATCGAAGCGAGGGCATCAGCCTCGTCCACCACCGTGACTTGGATCATGGGCCCCCTGCCGGAGCACCCTCCGGCTGTCTCCGAGCTTAGGCATCTGACTAGGTACTGTCTCCCGCAGGACGCGCCGTTGTCCCAAAGCCCTTCTCCAGCTGCTGCGATCAGGTTGTTCGCGGGAAACTGGCTCGAATCGCTCCCGAAACAAACCGTAGCTGTATAAAAACCACAACTTCAGAGTTTTGATGCGGTGAAACAAATTACTCACGAGACCGACTTACGAAGATACGGGCGGCCGTAATACGCCGCGGTGCCGACGTCAGCATTGAGTATTGGAAGTGTGAAGAGGTGGAGGAGGAAGGAAAAGAGGAGGTGAGCGTTGCTATGTGGAGGACTACGCATGGTTCAATGGTTTGTGGGGGTGCCTTGAGGAGTGAACTTAAAATTGGAAGTAAAAAAGGTAAATCATTAATACAGAGCCACAGTCTTTCTTTGTGTGGGCATGGGCATCTTGCTCCTTACATAGTTCTAGATGCATAAAGCCAGAGGGATATGAAGTAGACTTTGGAATAGTCTGGGTCTTCTCTAGGTACCTTTTTTCTGTGGACGAGTCACATGTTGATAATTCATTCAGGGGTCTTCGAGCGCATGTGAGTCCTCTAGATGTTGTGGCAAGCGAGAGACTTCAAACGTTACTGTGTAGAGAAAGTAAAAGCGAGAAATTAAATGGAGGGAGATAATTTAGCAATTGGCTTCAATTTAACCTGGGTTATTATAACTTGTTGTATAAATATATATATATACTTCTAATTTCTTGTGATATTCTATGAAGGAGAACATCCCAACTTTTTTCCCCCTCGAACAAAAGTATATGCTTCTAATCCCTTCTAAAGTTCTAATTTCTTATGGATTTGGGTCCTCTTCTTTATCATAACAAGTGCAATTACTATCAGAACACCCCACTACAGGAGCGTCTTATCAATCCAAGGATACGGGCCGGAAGTGCCTCTCTACTTTACATTTGCGCGATCCGAAACATATTTCCTGCAGTGTGCGGGGTGTTCTGACAAAATTTTAGACTCCAGATTGGGTCTCTAGATCAAGAACATCCGTGCTTACCAAAACAGTAGTGGCATACTTATGCACAGAGAACAGAGGTGAAGGTTAGCAAGAAAGCAAGGACCTTTTCACTCCGTGTTTAGATTTACGAGATCCGTAAAGGACAAATTTTTAAAACCATCATATTTGAACATTTAATTCCAAAAAAAGGACCTGTTTTGAACATATTTGTAAAAACCGATCTGGTTTCAGCCTTGGCGCTGAAACCAGGTCAGTTTTTATGAAAAAGCTTCCGAAACATCACGGGAGTTGAACTCCCGTGAAGTTTAATAAAGCTGCTAAACTTCATGGGAGTACAACTCCCGTGAAGTTTCATAGTTCAAATTTTTTTTGAACTATGAAACTTCACGGGAGTTGAACCCCCATGAAGTTTAGCAGATTTACTAAACTTCTCGGGGGTTCAACTCCCGTGAAGTTTCGAGATTTTTTTTTCAAAAACCGACCTGGTTTCAGCGCCTTGACTGAAACTAGGTCGGTTTTTGAAAATATGTTCAAAACAAGTTTTTTTTTGAGATTAAATTTGGAAATAGATTGGTTTTGAAAATTTTGAAAATTCGTCCGATCCGTAAATGATGAGCATCAATTACAAAGATTGAAATCATATAAATAGATGTCCCGCGTTTGGATTTAACCGGAAAGGATTTAACTAGAGATTCTCTCAAAAAACCCAAAACAATCTCAAGATATATAATTAAGTTTTAGCTTATCATCGAAGTAGCTCCTATGTACTCAAACGAAAGGGACTTCCACCGTTCGTTGCTGCCGTGAAATTGTCATTAGTTTATTAGTATGACGCTGTTATGACTGGTTACTATATTCAAAAGAGTTATATTTTAGAGAGTTTTTTTTTTTCTGACCAACTCAAACTTTCAATCAATTTCTTTTTAAGCCCACTCACTTCTAAAATTACTCATTGGCGCTAATACTCTATTAATTTTATTTTTAACTTACTTCCAAAATTATTCTTAGTTAGACACTAACTTGTTATATATACACTACTCAACTTTTTGAGACTTTAAGTTTTTGACACCTTAATGTAGCTACGCAATGTTCAACTCAAAAAGCTTCCGTATATATATAGAAGTTTAAAATAAAAGAGCTTTTTCCTATAAACCCAAAGTTTTTTCTTCATTTATTTAGAATAAAGAGCTTTTTCTATAACCCCAAAGTTTTGTCTCCATTTATTTTCCATAAACCCAAAGTTCTATCTCCATTTATTTCCTATAAACCTAAAGTTTTATATCCATTTATTTTTTTAAACAACCCATTTTCAGAAAGAGTTTTTGGCATTTATACCCAAAGTTTGGTTTCACTTATATATTATTTTTAAACTCATTTTGTATTTTAACAGTTTGATATACGAGATAAGTTAGTATATGTTTCTGTAACTTGTTTGTTCTAATTCGTTAAGTGTACTGTGTACATATATGTTTACACCAAAGGTACGGTGTAAGTTGTTATTCGTAACTTACTACAATTTTTGTTCTAAGTTGTTAACTATATAGTATATTTTTAAACGAAACTCTTAACCATTAAATTTTTTTCCCACATTGCAGCATCGTGAAGTGTGGATGAGTTTTTCCATATAAACTCAAAGTTTTACCCAAGTTTAATTACTTTTAAACATGCCTTCAAAAGAGTTTTTTGCTTGCAGTCCCAAATTAACATCCTCATTTATTTTTAAATCCACTCACTTCCATAGTTACTCTTAAATCCAAAAAAGAAAAACTCCAATAATATGATTTCAAAGCTAATTTGTGCTTTGGTTGTTTGGTATACGATGTTAGTTGATATATTTCATTGTAATTTTCTATATTTTGTTGTAACTTGCTATATTTTTGTACAAATTGGTTAATTAGGATGTGTATTGTTGAACTAAATATTTAAGCCTTTATTTTTGGAGTTTTTTCCACACAAATACCGTAGCATTGTGTAGATCAATTTAATTTATTTGTTTTTATCTAAATCTATACTATTTATAAAAGAGAATACTCATGTCAAAACTTTTGAATTCCTATTTTGCCCTTTCAAATTTAAATGATGATTCACAATTATACAATTATTTATAATTAATCCTTAAATAATTATCCATAACTCTTTATTAAATTCACCTTCTAATCTTCCCCAAAATATTTGGTCAATAATATAATTATTATCAATAGTTTATAATCTTTTTTTTGAAAAGCAATAGTTTATAATCTAATACTACATACAAATGCATATATCTATAATTAAAATTTTAGAGTGTCAATGTTCACTTTTCAGACTACCTTAATTGCATGTCGGGGGGGCTTTGCGACCTGCTTTCCTCTCTAAAAAGTTAAAACAACTACATGGGTCATCAAAGTTTAAGCCATGAGAAGATCAGAGTTTTGTAGGGACTATCTAAGATAGAATTAGAGAATGGTGCACCTCATTCTTTATAAGTTTGGGTCTTTTGACCACCAACTGTTAATGAGTCCAAAATTTCAGCTCAAGACTATAAATTTCTTCCTAGTCAGTCACACAATAGTATAAGATAAAGTTAGTCAAATAATTATAATAATAAGATGTAGAGTCTAGACTATTAAAATTCAATTTGAATCAATGCATAAATTGTGAACCCAATTAACTAACAAACTACTCTTTTCATTTTCCCTTTATATAACTTCTCTTTCATCTCTAGAATATAAATTCTAAGTTTTTTTACACCCCCTTCTGAGTTCTAAAACCCTAGATTTTGGTTGCCCCCGGCCCTGGGTTGCCCCAGCCGCGGGGCTTGGTAGGCTTACCCCAGGGCCGGCCCTGAATATAAATTAGCTCATACATTGTCTTTCGCTCACCATAATACCTACGAAGCCAAATTCATACAATTATAAAAGAAAAGCTCAACCATAACTCCACTTGGATTAGAATGGGAAATCTAGCAGAGCATAAGATGCTGACTTCTTTTGATGATTAAATTTGCTCAAACACGTGTTAGAGTGATATGTTCCTATATATCAATTAGAATTTTAAAAATGTGTTCTAAAACTTGATTGGTGTAGAAATGGGTCGATTTGGTACAATTTAAATTGCTACATTCAATTTGACGATTAGTTTTCTTTTTGGAGACATTGGTATCATGCATATTAAAAAAATCTATTATAAAAAGACTAAAATAAACAAATGTATATTAAAATCTTATTAGATTAAATATTTTTAAAATTCAAACCTCTAAACATATTTCACGGTGTAATTTGAAGGCATATTATACTAAAAAAAATCTATGATGCTAATATCATGAAGTAAGGGCACGATTAGGAATGCATTATGCTAATTGTATTACCCTTTTGATGTTACTGTTAGAAATACAAAATAAACGTTCTTACCATAATTTCGGAGGAAAATTTTAAATAAATACTATAACAAGCATCATATTTACATACATCCAAAATAATTACATTTTATTATAACTAAACCCTGATTGACTAAAGTAGTATCTTCTTAAGCTTTGGCTTTCTACCTTCTAATTCATAGCTCATTTTTATATGTGACATTTATTATTTATTTATTTCTCTTTCTTCCTCTCCTTCCAACCATCCAACTTCTATTTCTGAGAAATGAAGTGCTTAGGATGGCATTAAAGATGGTACAGATTTCCATGGAAATACTATCACAATGATTTAGTGCCGAGCTGTGAACTAGAGATTGATGAAAAGAATATGAATGACATAATCATTCTCTCTTGTAATTATCACAGAACTTCAACAAGTAACAAATCCTTGCTCGCAAGGAATACCTCCATTATCCAAACCTATCAATTTTAGCTTTAAGTTTAAGAACTTTATTTGGAAAAGATCTTATTAATTAGCATTTCCTTAAATAGCTTGAACTTTAGTGTAAATTGAGCAAAGATGTCTCTCCCATCTCTAATATTAAAGCATCTTTTAATGTTATTCTTGTGTTAGCAAAAGAAGTTCGTTCATGCATAGGATTATAATGTTTTTTTTACCCTATTAATCTATGTTGGATATCAACTATTTAGTAAATTCGGTATGTTTTGATTTAGCTTCAAATACCGATGCTTAACATAGGCTTTGATAAATTAATTAAATTTGAAATATGATATGAATTGCTTCATTCCTTTGTCTCATTACCCTACACATTTAGGTCCTTCCAGCTTGTTGGCCAATCTAATTATCTAAGAGTCTTAGCGTACAAATTTCTTATTACATCCATTAATTAGGTTCCATGAATATTGGTAACATCTAATCAGCTTAAGAACATGAATCTAGACTTCTTCATTGATTAATTCATCATTTTATGATGCACATTTAAAAATTTTAACATTAAACAAGTAAGTTCACGTGCAATACACGTGCAT